GTAATTTACACGAACAATTAAAAAATGCATTAGGAGGAGGAGGAGGAGGAGGAATATCAAATCAAAAGTAAGAAGAATTATTTATAGTAATGTTATAGATTTATTTGTTGTTTTTTAGTATTAATATTGAATATTCAATTGATTTCGGAAAAACTTGGCATTTTTTATTACAACCATGTTTTCGTGGTTCAGCTTGTTCACATAATGTACAACATGTTTATTCTTCAAGTATTATATTACCAACATCGTACGAGTTTATTAGGAAAATTTATTTTGAGATTTTAATTTTATTATTTCTTTTTTTTCCTATATAGTGGATGGTATCGTATAACATTACCATTACCAATAGCAACATTACAACAAGAATATATACGTTTTCGTATAACTACTCCATTGTTTGCTATGTCAGTTTATTCTACAAGTAATTCTTGGGCTATTGATGAAGGTAATTGACAAAAAACTTATTAGAAACTAATAGTTAGAATTATTTTAATTAGTTTTTATTGGACGATGTCCTCGAGTATGTAGTGGACATGGATGGTGTCAATTAAATTCATGCAGGTATAGTGAATTTTGTGCTATTTGCCTTTTGAAGAGAAAAACATAAATGAATAGTAAAATATTGAGAAACCCTCTTCCTTATTTGGAATATACATTTCTATGGTTTTATTTATCATTCCATATCAACAACTATTTCTATTGTTAGTGACATGTAATATACTAAATCATGATCTAATTATGAGTTCAATATGATATTTCATATAAATGAGATTCTAAAATCATTTTGTACATTTTATCAGATTGTTATAACATAAACATTTTTTTTTCTCTTAAGATGTGATACTGGTTTCTCGGGCAAATTTTGTGAAATAAGCAATACAACATTATTCAATCGAGCATCATTTCTAATGGATAATAATGATAATCAAACAGATCTAATGACTTATCACGGTATATCTCACGTTAGTCATAATGCTTTATTTTATTTTATTTTAATTTTCAGGCGGCCAACTTAGTTATAAATGTGATATAATCTCACAAGGCAAAGCATTAGTATTTTCAAAATCTGGCTTTCGATATTTACGAATATCAAATATAAATGGTAGTTCACCAAAGTAAATATTTCATTCTATGAAATAAAATAAGTTTTATGAAGTTTTTGTTTTTTCTTTTTTTGTAGATTACTTGAATTTACACTTCGTCTTGGTAATACAAATGCACAATGTTTTGGAACAAGTATAAACGATCTTGATCGTGATTTAAAATCGGTTTTATTATTATCATCATGTTCAAATGGTGTTCATTGGACTATAATTGATCATTTTCGTATATCAGATATTCTTGCTCGAGATTTTCGGTTTAGTTTTATTATTTATTTGATTACAAATTATTGAATGTTTTTTTTTTGTATTTTGGTAGAACAATTAGTCGAAT